ACAAAACTTATTTTGGCGGAATCTTGCTTGATATTGTCTCTTGTTTTTTAAATTATTTTTTCTTGATTTACTAAGACTAACGAAGTAAAAACTTTTGGAAAGTTTTACAAACATCAGTCAACAGTGTTTTCATTGAAAATTTACGGGAAAAAGACGAAAGCATACTCAAAAATTATTTGATGTTGAAGCACGTAAAAAATGCTTCAGTATTTATAGCATAAAAGCTTCTGCTTTTATAAATGTATAACGAAACTTTTTCTGAATTCGGATTTTGCACGATTTCAAGAATCATGAGAAAAATTTTTATTAACGTGCTCAACTCATCAAATAATTGTTAATTATTAAGTAATAAGTATCAGTTAACTTAAAACGGCACACTTTCATTTGCTCAGAAAGATTTTTGCGAGCCACTTCTCTCCAGTGATAGATTTTGCGCTTCGTTAGCCACGGCAGTGGGAGTGTTAATAAATGAATGTTGCAAAACTTCGCAGAAAACAATTAATTTTAAATGAACAATACAACAAAGCTTTATTAGATGAGTACCCCCCGGAATTATCGATGTGTCAGCTACCGTTGGCTTTTATTTCCTTGTATAGTAGTAACTGTCACTCGTATCAGTTAGAAGATAAACAAAAATTATTGACTTCTTTAAAATGTCTTCATTATATAAATGCCAACGTTATCCCTTTTCAGGATTCATTTTGGTTATTTATACCAAGAACCAAGAACCAATGAAAAATCGCAATGATGCATTGGTGTGTTAAAAATTTTAGAGAATTTTTAGAAACTAGGCAAAATACATACTTTAAGACAATACGCCACTTTTGCAATTACCTTAAGACAGCACCGGGATTGAGTCATAAAAGTAATAAGCTAGTAAATGGGAAATGCTTTTATATTTTGAAAAAGCATTCTATTATTTCTAAATGACAAAATGACGATCCACTTTTCTTTTCCCAAGAAAGTATGTGCTTTATTTTTAAATGCACATTAAATGCTTTTTCCAATGCCTTTTCAAAAAACAATTTTTTTAAATTTGTGAAAGTCTTCCATAATTCTTTTCAGAGCACGCTCTTTGTTCGCATTTCGAAAAATTCATGAATGCACTTCAGTCATTTTTAGTAGCAAAAATAAAAAGTCAGTAATATATTGAAACACCGAGAACTCATACGAAATTATTTTTTGACATGGGTATAATCAAAAAGAATATATGATGAAGACCTGTTCATACGCCGAAAAGACAGGATATCTCATGTAGATGAACGATGGGTTTTCATCCAAAGATTTTCTGTATCAAGGAATCGTCGTTAAAATAGTCAGCAAGGATCTGTCCTGTTTACTGACAAATATAATCTGTTTATATTTGACAGCTAAAGAGAAATGGGAATGGTGCTTCTTCTAACTTCTGCTTTGGTGTAGCCATCAAAATAACGTAGGAGTTGTACTGTCATTAAAAGCATAGAATACAGGTCCCACCGTAATTCATCACCTATCGCACAATAAGAGAAGGTTTGTCTCCAACACTCCACGTTCAAAAAACAAATTTTTCGGTCGCAGAAAACAGAAACTTTTTTGGACGCCTGGAGATTTAGGTTAAAAAGTTTTTTTCTACTACATGATTTCTTAATGGAAATAATGCTGGGCATAAAACAGTGCTAAATCATTTTAAAAGAGAAAATATCAACACAGCTGCAACCGGAAATAACTTATGAGAAAATTGAATGCTGTAATTTTTAAAAAATTAAAAAATTAAATTAGCCAATTGCAGTTGAGAGTCGTTTTGATAATAATGGCGTATGCACAACTTCAAGGCATGCAGCATGGAAACAGAAAAATTTTTCAAGCAAATTGAAAAGTTCACGAATATTTTTCGGCATATTATCGTCTTTTTTAAAAGCTAAGTATGAATTTATGTAGAAAAATGATCCTATTTTTTATTGATATAATTATTATTTTGAATTCATGTTTGTTTTTTAGGTATTTTTACTTTATATGAAGGTATGTGTTCGTAACTGCGAAGATAGTTGCCTATCTTTGGTAAATATATAAAATATACATAGTCAATTAATACAAAATTTGCGGCGCACGGTCTGTTACAATGGAATGGGCCGAGTTTTCGTTTGTTTATACAATTTTGTGATTTATTGGGCCGCCTATGGTTGTATCAACGATGGTACTGGAATGGAATATGTTTATTTGATATTAGATTTATGTGAAGAATCGTTGGAGAAGTTTGTGGAGTATTTTACTTCACATGATCCTTGAAGAGCTCTTCTTGATATTCTCAAACAAATTCAGAGAGGATTAGCTAATCTTATAAGCGGTCCAAATCCTATTATTCATCGGGATTTAAAGCCTTCCAATGTTCTCCGATACTCTCAAGGTAAGTTTCTGATAGCAGATTTTGGGATTAGTCGACTGTTTAAGAATGGTTTGAGGACATATGAAAGCAGGGCTAACAGGGGAACTGAGTATTGGATTGCACCTGAATCTTATTGTGAAGATGAAGATACAGTTGATAAAGAACGTTACAAGAAAGAGTCTGATGTAATGGTCGGTATAGGAATATGACTATTTGCAAAGTACAAATAAATTTACTTTTTTGCATTTTTACATTGTTTATCATTTTAGAATGCTGGAATGGTGGCTTATTATGTTGGCACGAAAGGTAAACATCTTTTTGGAACTAAACGGCATATACTGGACAATATGTTGAATGGAAACCCTGTTGGCTTAGATCAAATCAAGGATGAAGCATTGAAAGACCTTTTGTTCTGGATGTTAAATCTACGACCTGAAGACAGACCTTGGGCGAATTTTGGTTCACTTGGCAGCATTATTTTTATTTTGTGAACGTAATGACTCACCAGTTGAATGAAACCAGTAGATGTAGATCTCAAGTTATACCAAAAACTAGTTTAGTTACAAAACCAAGCTGTTGCCGATGTTTCTTCACTGGTGATTTTCTCTTGACTCACACATTGGATTGTTGCTCATGTTTTTCATGAAAATAGATTCTTGGCTAAACTCAAGTTTCTTATGATTTGTTGAAATCCACTCTGGATTTCTATTACTTTACAGTCCAAGTGTTGTTTTACTTTCAGGTCATGAATTGCATCATTATCTACCAGCTCTTTGTACATTGCACGTTGTAACAAACATCCCTGGGTAGGTTGTCATCACAAACCACATAATCTGTGGGGCAAGTAACTTATTCTTGAGTTAACAATTCTTTAACAAAAGTGGAACATCCGGCATGAATTAGACTTTAACCACAAGATTGGGCATGAATTTGATAACAACAACTGTTCACATTTTTTTAAAAGTTTGCAAGATAAATATTAGAGCCCAACAAATAATTTTAAACATAGTTATAAACAATTTGGTTTTATGAAATTTATTAAGAGTGACGTTTTGTCTTTACTCAAGACATCTTCAGACTAATTAGGAAGTTAACAAGAATATAGATATATATAGAGCTATTTATATAGTTTGAGGTATCAGATTACTGTGAATGTGTAGGTGTGATGTGATGTATTATGTGATGTGTTTTTAGGGTGAGGTGTTGAAAATAGAAAAGCCTAAGAGGGATGGAGCTGCCTAGGGTGTAAAATGAAGGTTTTAGTTTGGAGATGAGGAGGCTTTTATGGATCATGAGGTTGAATGTGTAGCGGAGCAGGATGAGATGATTTTAAAATCGTCGGGCAAAGCAGGGTGGTGAAGGAGTTACTATGAGAAAGAATACTTGACATTAATGGGTTAGTATAGTGTTTTCCAGTTAAAGGAGAGAAAACGCTATACTAACCCATACAAAACCTTCACTTAACACCCAAAAGGCAGCTCCATCCCTCTTAAGCTTTTCTAGTCTCAACACCTCACCCTAACAATACATCACACTTACATCTCACAATACATCACATCACACCTACACATTCACAGTAATCTGAAACCTCAAACTATGTAAATAGCTCTATATATATCTATATTCTTCTTAACTTCCTAATTAGTCTGAAAATGTCTTGAGTAAAGACGAAACATCTTTCTTTTATTAAATTTCATAAAACCAAATTGTGTATGACTTTGTTTAAAATTATTTGTTGGGCTCTAATATTTATATTGAGAATCCATTTCCCGCCTAGCACTTCATTGGAAACAAGTTTGGAAGATACACCATACTCCCATAAAACTGCCTGTGTACCACCTCACACATCCCTTGTGACATTCTTATCTTTCAGATTGTTCATATGCCTGTTTTATGATATTGATATGCTTGATCTTAATATCACCAAAAAAGTTTTTAATGAAGAAGTAAGCTAACACCTGCTTTCATCTGACACAATAGAAATTATCTCACTGTACTTCATTATGAAATTCTATGTGTGCAAACTGCAGTAAAGAGTTAACATAGAGAATATATATAGGATCACCTTGGGGATCACCTTGTATTCTTTACATGCATGTAATAACTTATTTAGTACAAATAAAATTGAAAAAAGTAATCAATCATTGAATTAAACAAAATTCAATTTTATTTTCAAAATGTAACAACAGAACAAAATACATATGGCATTCCTGAGAAGCTGAAAGGTCTATATGCATTCTACGTGGATTGTACGCATAGATACACCAATATTTAACAAAAATATATAAAAAAATCAAAATTCCATGAAGAATACTTAGACATACGTGACTGGAATGCAATCTGGTAGAGTAAGTGGGATTGAAGTCTTTCCTCTTAATTGCACAGAGCCACTTCGCTACTGTGCTTGCCACCAGGGCGTACGTTTCATATCCTTCGTTGCTTCCATTGGCAAAATAAACGCACAACATAAAACCGAACTTTTTGTAATTTAACTCTTTGTAAACTATAGATTTCTATCGCGCTCTCGGAACAAAAATGGTGGCGAGAGACCCACGTGACCGTGTTTACCCAATCATCATGCAGAATGCAGAGAACAATACGTGTCCCAACCACAGAACTCATAATACACCAACTCTGCGGTCCCAACTCTTACATTTATAGAGCTCTGGATAGAATTAGCGTTGTGTTGATCTTCTCGTCGTCAATTTGAAAGTGCAAGTTTTGTGATTTAGTTACAAAACATGAATTTTGACAACATTTACTAGGGTAAGTTTACTTAAATGGTTTTTATCATGAAAAGAGCAAGGGAAAAGGTCAGAACTATTTTGAAACATTTATAGCAACAGCGCTGTGTAGTGTTTGCTACAAATTGTTTGCAATGTAAGTCGCATTTTAATCAGATTTATTTGATTGTATTATAATTTATCTGGGTGTATTATTACAGACTAGAAAGTATAAATGTAATAAATGTTTGGCTTCGGCGACTCGCCTAAAATTTAAAGAATTCCGGAAGTGTTAGCTTATTCCCAAATATTAAATATATTACCACATACTTTGGTTATACCTAGAAATTGTACGACAAATTGCCCGACAAGATAGCTGAAAGCCTTAATATTCTCCAACATAGTTTTAATCGCTTGCTGTGGACGTTTATGTTAACAAATACAATCGCAATTTGCGCGACCATATCGATGTAGTTCTGTAAGATGATTCATTGATCGAAATTTTACATGTTAAATACTTTAAGTTGTTGAACAAAGCACAGTTAATCATCATGATAAACTACTTTTGGGTCCCATTTAATCTGTTTACAAGCCAAATTGGGACATTTCTGTTATTTAAATGACCTCAATGCGAGCATACTTTTATTGATAATTTCCAACTCAATTTTTGTTTACTTTTTTAATATCGAAATCTGGGGCGGATTAAGGGGTAGGCAACTAAGGCACTTGCCAATAGTGAAATTCCTAAGTTGATCTCAGTTAGATTTTGTACTATAAAGATAGTAGAACAAAAAACACTTAAGTTAATTGTTATGTGGTTTGCAGACCAGTCAGTAATCAATTTAGTAATAGCTCTGCTGTTGATAGCAGTTCAATCATTGGAAAGTTATACCACACATTGTTTAAGATTTGATAAAACTAACATTCATTACATGAGAAGCTGTTTACTATAACCTGTGATTTTTAATTCTTATCTGATCCATAAAGCTTTTTATTTTGACAATTTGACTGAAATGGTATTAAACCTGAGTATTTCACCTACCTGAAATGTTGTCTCATGTCACATATTGTCCCCTTTTCTAACTGAACACCTCATGTAGAGTCGTCAAGGTGTGTTGATCTACGGCTCATACCAGATCGTTTGCCATAAATTCCAAAGGACTATTGATGTATGAAAAGCATTTTCTACAAAGTAAAAATGTGTTCCTATGTATGCAGATAAACCTTCAAATTTGGCATAACAGCAAATTATTTTTCATGATCACTTGGTAATTTTTCTGATGATCATTATAATTTCTAAACTAAATTATTTCAGATTTACATTTAAACGAGCTTTGATCATATGAAAAGATATTTATCATAACCAGTAAGCATGACACATAAGCCAATTTTAACATTCATGTAATTATATAATTAAAGACATGTTGGTTACATTCTGTTTGTACTGGCAAATACAATGCTAGTAGTGATTGCTATATAGCACACCTTGCATATACTTACAGAAGATAATAGTCTAGTAAAATGCCTAATAAATATTAACAGCATTAAGCTGTCCTTAATTGCAAACTTTCACTCTGATAATTTTTGCTTAATCTTTGGCAGAAAAAAATTTTGAGTTTTTTCTCAAAAGGTGAATCTGCTGGCACTGTTTGTGGAGATGGGTAAAGGGTTACAATAAACTTGCATGGTTTGAAGTCTGAGGTTTTCTACATCTTTAAACTGTCGTACCAAATTGTTGTACTAAATTTCTAACTTAACTCATTACATAGAGGTTTGAATAGGGGTCTCTGGAGTGGTCTATGTCTCACAACTTGGTAGAAATTTTTAAAGACAATATCTTTTTTGGAATAGCATTATTGTAAAATAAATTTTATGTTTCTAGACATGCTAATGAGCCATATATTTGGCATGATAATGAGCCTAAATATATGGCAAAACATTCAAGTATTGTTCACTTCAGTTGTTTTTTTTGAAAAAAAAAACGTGAGCAAAATGTGTTGTTGTTACGCAAAAACGATGCCGACAAAATTCATTTTGTATTGCTCTAAAACTCTGAAAATGGCATTTCCAAGTCTTTGAAATTCAAAATTTCCCAGGGAGAATGCCTCGGACCCCCCGAGGGGCGGAGCGCCTCCGACGTTTTATGATTGATGTTTGAAAAATCCTAGATCCGTATTGAGGCACTGATTTCAAAAATTGTTGTTATATAAGCAAGTTTTGGGGCCTTCGTTTTCACGAAAATCGTGATTTTAGCACTATACATATAGCTATTTCAACAAACTTACACTTTAACTTTGTAAGTGGTTTAAAATTATCAAGTAAAACACAATTTAGTAAAGAAGGCGTATAAGAAAAATAAAAAAGTTTTACTTCTCCCGCTTCGCCTAAATTTTTAAAGTGCATATCTCACAATTTTTTTTGCACTTTCGAAAGATTTGTAGATTGTAACAACCAGCACAATCAGTAGGCAATATTTGCGTGCCAACTGTTTGATGGACCTGCAAAGGCATGCATGTACTTCAAAATATATTATCACTTCACGACACTGAACTGAATTTAAGTACCGGTTATATTTTATCGATTTCAGCCAATTTAGATGCGGAGGTTAAAGTGTTTAAAATCGGGAGTTCTTCTGCAATCGTTTCAGTGAAGATTTCTTCTTCGATGATATTATCAGTTGAGTAGAGCATGATTTGCTTACCAAATCTTTTACCATCTTTTTAACCTATATACAGAATGAAACATTAAGGAAGCAACAAATAATTGCAACATGTATATCACTAACAAATCAGTTTTCATTTGCAGATGGTATCTTTTTACATACCCGTCGTTTCTCTCTAGATGTAGGATTTTTTGGTTCATTATCTTTTAGAAATATTGTTGGTTGAGCGGTTATTCCAAAATCATCTTTTTTGAGTCTTGGTGTATAATTCTTCGTCCCTGGGATTTCTACTTTGTATTTTTCGTAATCCACATCAGTAAAATGAACGTAACAAACAGCCGAATACTTATTCGGTGTCCATTGAGCGCGTTTTCTTGCAACAAAATTCACCAAGATTTTACGTCTTCGCTTCGCTTCAGGACGCTCATCACCGTAAAATGGTATACAGTGAAGAGAAATTCCTTCCGCAGAATTTGCTCGGTTTGAACAGCCGAAAACTGCACATATATCTGGCATTTTGATGCAGAGCCGGAGTAGATAAAGTAGAATTTATAGCAAATATCACAATTTCCTGTCCTTATGTTACGTCACATACTTCTCGATTCAGGCTCTCGTCAAGCAAATTAAACGCGCAGCAATTTTCTCTATTATTGCCCATTTTGGGAAAAGAAATGCATTTATCTCATAAACGAAGCCATCAATCAGAAAATTGTAAAATAACTTTCACAATGATCTTTTTACCTCAATCAGAAAATTAAAAAAAACTGTGGGATGAGCACTTTAACAATTTTTGTTAAACTTCATTTCCTACCTTACGTCCGCAAAGAAATTTTTGTAAACGAATTTTAGTGCTTTTTGACTAAATAACTAGTTCTATTTGTTAACTATAAACTAATAACTGATAGTGTACGTATTTTTAATGATTTATGTAGTTTTTGGACACTAAATGAATTTAACAAACTGCACTTGCTTCTCAGTCATCTTCTTCGAAGTTATCGTATGCGCCATAATCGTGCATAGGTTTCTGACCCATTTATCTCTTATCCATTTATCTTGAAGTTTATGAATAAATCATTGGGATGTAAAACATTGAGCACAAAACACATTTTTAAATCTCAAACATGTTTGATAATAATTAATATTAAATAATATTAAACATGCGTTATTATTTGAACTAAGGTTGTGAAACTACTTCATTTTGTGGCGATTTACTTGAAAGGCCGTACACATTTAAGCACTGCGTGCCTATTTTTTGTGTATCGACACCATGGTTAAAAATCATTTGTTGTCACATTATGATGAATATTAAGATGTTGATTACATTATGTAAAATATTTTATACATTTATAGTAAAATCAAATGCCTCCTTCTTTGACACTTAACAAGGACATTATATTTCTGAACTGGACTTACACCAATGGCACCGACTATATCTTTCGCTTTAAAATAAAAATAATTTAGACGTTGGAAATTTTTTTTTTTAACTTTAACTTTAATACGTTCAAATCATACGTACAAGGTTTTATACACAGTTCATAAGCAGAACTCTTGATTAACTTCAGGTCAGCTTGCCTCTAATCGTATCAGATATGTTTGGATAAATGAGCAAAATAATTATTCATTAATTTTTGTTGCTATCCTTTTCGTCCAAAATGCACATTTACTCTCAAATCTTATTGTATATTGGTGAAATCGGAGCAACTCTTATGCATTTCATTGTTTTAGTTTAACTCATCTCTAAATCTACTGACTTTATGCCCTTCAAAGAACTCAAGTTGAAACTGGGGATAAACAGTGACGAAAAAGACTTTAGAGACGGTGAAAATCCTGATTTTGAAGGTCAAGAGTGGTGCATGCTCATTTTTATATAACAAATCATTGAATGTGATTCACGTGAAACAGCTTTTTACTATCATGCATAAGTCGCAAAAATTTTCATGACGCTTGACATGTGATAATTTAATATTTATTATTGCTTTATTTACCATTTTTTCATTCGACAGATCTTGCATGCAATGGAAGTGTCCTCTGCAAGACTTTATGAAAGAACAAGTGAAGCCAGGAAAGAGCGTCGCAACCCTAATATTGACGGCAAGTAAAACTCATGCCTTGTTACTCACAAATGATAAGTAATTGAATGCAAACCTCTTATAAACTATTCAACATAAGCAAAATGACGAATGTTTAAGTGGTATGACAAAACACAACACACCGATGCATAGGTGAAGGTAAAGTAGAGTATGTAAGTAGAGGACAGAGGGAGGTGTCAGTGAGTGATGTGTACAGAGGAATACCAAGGAAATGCGCTAAAAGAGGACAAGAGGAACCTTTATGCTTTGATGCGTTGTTGCCTATTTTCTCGAGATGATTTATGACAAAGCAACAGAAAGATAAACATGTAAACATTTACTGTTGATATTTTACGCTTGTGTGCGAGGAAGTCATATATTCTGCATTTTTATGAGAAATAGACATGGCTATATAACGATAGGCTTTTAAACATTCGGACTAAAAAATGCATGATTTGAGAAATAAAGTATTTGTATTTTTTGCTTGTTATCGAAGCAATAATTCCACACTATAAAGACATTTCGTTTCCACTGGCGTAGCTAGCGAAAAACATTTGGTCGGGCTCACGAGGCGCCGCCATGGTTGTCGCCGAGCGAGAAAATTTTCCGAAATTAGACTCCCTAGAACGTCGGAAACGGCTATCTTAGAAAGCTAATGCGTGATATTTATGCAGGTAATAGAACCATTTTGGTTAATTTAATTTGCCGAAGGATCTTATAGTAAAGCAGAGAAACATTTCAAAAATAGTTGCAGATATGTGATTTATTTTCTCAACACCACATACATAAATAGATACCTATGTACATCTTGTAAAGAAACTTTGACAAAAGAACCGAAAAAGGCTAAGATTTGTCATCAACAACTATCAAAAGTTGTGATGACGTTCATTGTCGTGCTGCAATGACAATCATCATTGCCTGCATTAAAATGTTCCCGGAAAAATTCTCACATGCCATGGACGTAAGACATCATCAGCTTGCTATCAGCCATATATGAATACCTATTTGTATAAGAAAGCAAGTCTTGTGGTTTTTCATGTGGTTTTTCAATGGACTTCTTTACTACCTCATCATGCAATGTGTTGGCGTCTTCTTTTTCTGACAGTATGTCGTTGTGAATGTAAATCCTGCAAAGAGAACTAAAACGTCATCGGCTCATAGTATTTCTAAGATAATTTTTTACCCTCTTCAAACAAGAAAATCACCTCTCAACTGAAGCACTTGTAATTGACAAAACCCCATTTATCTTTAACAGTTTTACAATTTCTAGAATACTAGATTGAAGATGGAACTGAAAAATATATTTCAGTAGTTCATCGCACGAATCACAGTGAAAGTCTTTATCTCTGTAAATAAAACAAAGTTGGCTAACTAGCATTGGTATGTCAAACATATCACCATAACCTACTTTAGAAGATTTATCTTTTCTGAGGGCACTTCACCTTTTCACATCTTAAACACCCTAGGGTTAACAAAGTCTAAAAATCTAAAACGCTCCATATCCTGAAATCGCTCAGTCAGCATAGTCACAATTGTGTCAAGAATTTCAAAATACATTTGTTTGTAATTATGCCGTTGGTCGTTACTGGTGGTCCCACTTTCTCAACAGCCAGGTCGTACACCTGACAATATTCTGTATAATTTCTCGGAGAAGCAACAAAGGCCTTGAATCTGTCAACCCTACTCACTCCATAATGAAAGTCATTGTCCTTGTCTTGCAAGATAGAATAAAATATGATGACTTCTCAAGAATTCTCTGGAAAACAAATACCAAGAAACAAAACAAGAAGCCATTAAGGTAGCCAAGTAAACCAGTAACCTTACTTAACGTTTCATCATCCCAACCTATTGGATTATCAGTAAGATTTTCAAATATGTCTATCAGTTTCTCATAGTTAGAATGCAAGACATTGATGACATGAGCCCTATAATACCATCTTGTGTCACCAGGAGTAGGAAACTCAAGCCTATGGGATGATAGTAAAGCTTTTCTTTTGGGGGAATTGGTAAAGGTGCAGAAAGCACTAATATTAACAAAGAAAATCTTAACAGGTGAAATGGAGGATGCAGCTTGGCATAATACTAAATTTAGTCTATGAGCAGCACAGTGAACAAATTGAGCATAAGGATAATCCTGCTGAACTTGAGCTTGAACACCATTGAGATGACCAGACATAACAGATGCACCATCATAAGTCTGTCCAATAAATTTCTCTTTCACATTATTATATTGACTTAACTTACCCTTAACCTCTGATGATATAGCAGTTGCAGTCCCATCACAACTAACATCAACAAACCCAAGCTGTCTTTCAATGACACTTTCCCCTTTGTCCATTCGAACAATTACACTCAATTGTTCTTTGGTAGAACTATCAGTTGCCTCATCAACCTGTGTACTTAAGAAAATGCAGCAATCTATTTCCTTTAAAATCTCATCCTCTATTGTCTTATCAAGACAATCAATCAAATCATTCTGAATATCAGGAGAGACTCCAGTAAACTGCCCTCCCCCAGCAAGATGGGTTTCAGCAAGCCTGCCATGTAATTACATTTCAAAAACAGAATCCATCTTGGCAAAACTTTCAAGTAGCTCTCTATAATTTCCTCTATTCATGCTGCCACTAGATTCGTCATGCCCCCTAAATGCAAGCTCTTGCCTAGACAAGTATAAAACAGCTTATGTTATGGTTTTCAACATTTCCCTGTTTTGTCTTACCTCCTCGTTATGACGCTGAATCTCTTCACGTCTAGCTTGTGACATGAGACAGTCGACACGAGGCTGAAAACCGTAGGTCTTCCAGGTCTTGTAAGCACCCATGTGCGATTTTGTCTTCTCATGCTTCTTACAATCGGATAGGAAATTCTTCATGTTTTTGAATCCCGTCTGCGTCCATAAAGATGACGATCCAGGGCAAAACAAAAGACAAGGCGAACAGAACAATGCATTTTTTTCTGAGCTACCACAAAGCCAATCTTTCTTCGAGTACCAATTTTCCTGAAAGCTTCTATTGCCTGTAGTCGCTTGTAAATTTGGAATTGGCCGCTGCTTTACGAGTATATTTTGCTCGTTTGATTGTCGAACAGAAAATGGTTTCTTTTGTAGTTCACTTATTATATCGATTTCATTAGCCGAAGCCATTGTAATGAAAGTTATCACGATTTCCGATCGTATATTTCGAAAGCTCAAATTTCAAGTCACGCTTTTGAAAATGAGCCCGACTAGATGTTGTTAAACGTTTGAGCACAGAATAGATAACGCAGTGAACTCGACATTTGAATAACTGGAATGATAACCGAAGCCAAAAATTGAAGCCAAAATAATATTTGTTGTCATCATTCGTCATCACACGTCAGGCTCTAGTCTCTCGCGTGTTCATTTTATTTTTTTAAAATCATTTGTCCCTTGGTAATGGTAGAGTTCGGATCTTGATCAGAGCGTAAAAATAACGAAATTTTTGGAATGAAAAGGTTCACGGAAAGTGAATCAAAGTGATAAATCGAGAAGCAAGATGAGGTGAACTTAGTCGATCTGCTCTTACGCTGCGGTTTTCCTTTAAAACATATCAAAGTCTTTCAGGATATTCAATTATTGATATCGAGATGACAACCATTTAGTATTTCAAGTTTCAAGCACTATCAAAATCGATGAAAAATACAATCGCTCTGTAAAAAGTAAAAATGCGAGTTGTAGACTCAATATTTTTTATGAAACTGGATATTCAAGTTTCTTTTTTATTCGGAAAAACAGATCTTTAAATCCACTTAAATGACAAAAAAGACAAACACTGTCTGACACCGTTTGAAAGTTTACCTTCCGACGAAAGAAAAATTTATGCTTGAATATTTTCTCGTCATATTTTCTATTGTATTCTGTTTTTAGCAAACAGTGTAATTTTCAGTTGGCTTTTCCTCGTTACAAGTTGTAAGTTAAACGAACTCACTGTAGTAAAGTTTCAGCTGTAAAAAATAACCTTTTGCGAGGAGTTGGCCTCGTGTGTTGTTTGTCGTGATGTTGTTTATATGTTTATGCTTTTGCCATTTGTATTCAAATTTATATTGGCCGTGTATGTTTGGCACTCAGGGGAATGAAACTGACGTACAAACCGCGTGAATATTCGACTTTGAAGGACTCGAACTGACGTACAAACCGCGCAAGAGACTAGGACTTTGGCTTCAATTTTATATCTATAAAATGTATTGTCGTTATCATTCCAGATATATATATATATGGAGTTCACTGAGATAACGTAACAGAAGGGCCACTTAGCGAAAAATGCGGTCCTAAATTTTAATGCGCATGCGCTATGTCCGCCATGTTGGCAGCAAGATAAACTTGCTACACTAAATAAGGGTAACAATGTACAACTCAAAAATCTTGGCGATATTACTTGAAAAGTTGAAATGTTTATCCTGAGACGACCAAATCAAAGCAGTGGTTAATAAAGGTAATCAAGACCTACCCTCAGCATCGTGCTGAAATGGGAACATACAATCAACATATTTTTATGCTTTTTCATGTACAACCAATGTGTACAATTCTATCGAGACCTGTATGAGAAATGCTGTGCCGTGGCCGTGTGGTCAAGGTTATTCGTATTTATTTATTTGTAAAGAACGGAAGCGGAGAAGCGCTTAACGAACGTCTTTAAATCAGAAACAAGAAGGAACAATGTGAAATTTATCAACGGACGGGCTACACTTAAAAAGATATTTCGTATGACATTGGATTTGGTGCTTTAGAATTCAGACAAATTTAGTCATATCCGAACAATCAATAAATGTTCATTGAGAAATTGCAAACTTGTGCAATTGTATTTAATGCCAATGCCATATTGTGTTGGGAAAATTCTTATATTGTATGATTGAATCTAACTTCCAGATGCTCTTAACTATATGTTCCTTATATTTGTCATGTTTTAGATAATTTAAAGTATTGATTCCGTTGTAAGGAAATAAAATTGTCCTCTTGCTTCAATTAATATATATATATATTGTTATTTTCGGTTCGTCGCTGTCGCGGTATTAATTTTCAGATTAATTTTCAAGTTAAATATGCTGCACAAATATTCAGCCACACAGATGCTGCATCGATTTGCACATATTCATCAATTGGAGCACTACCACCATCAGCCTTGAGTACAGCTGAGTTGCTTTTCAAATTTGATTCGCTTTTCGATTGCATCAATAGTTCCACACTGAAATCAGCAAAAGAACAAAGAAGTGCAATAAGCAACAACAATAATCACATTGCTTTTCTTAAAGAAGCAATGTCCTTTATCCAGGGAATCAAAGTGGTAAAAGATGGTAAAAACATCACAGGCAGAATCAAATCACTTAAGGGATGGCTTATATCTATAAAGGCCATTATCTGTCTCAGGACCTGTCTTCATGCCTCATATAATTTTGCATTCTTGCTTGCCAGAAGATTAAACACAGATGCTTTAGAGAATTTTTTTGGAGCAATACACCAGCGAGGAAGTAATTCTGACAATCCACGCCAATACAATTTATCAGAGCTTTTCGAAAGGTTTTTTTTAGTTCACTTTTGACCTCTTCCAAAGGAAACTGTTCTAAAGGTATGGACACTCTGCTAACACAATTTTCAAAAAAAAGCCCAAACCATTTAGTATGCCACTTACCCATGCAAAAGCTCCAAGTAACTCACTGTTGATTGGTAAAAATGACTACCGAGAACAACATATTAGCAACAATTTATTGCTCAAAAATGCTGCTGCCTATGTTTCAGGATATTTGCTAAGCAAAGCTTTCAAAATCCACAGCTGTCTCCAATGTAAGAACGTTTTGACTTCAAATAACATAAACAATGATGGTAATTTGCTTTGCTATTTCAAGGCATATAAAGAATTCAACTTTGGTGGGGTGAATGCTCCTTCATCGTGCTATTTAAATTACATTATGCAACTTGAAGACACCTTCGTGGATTGCTTCTCAGTCACAACCAAAAATCTGAATGTTGGAAAGAGCATCTTGAAGAGTCTTAACATGATACCACTGCCATTCCGTACATGTTCGCAGTTTCCACTGCAATATTTGGTCAAACTTTTTTTAAGAATGCGAATTTATTGCGGCATCAAATTTGCAAATCGCAAGTTTTCCTCTTCTAATAAAAGATCGCGAAAGTACATTAAAGTCAAGCATTTGTAACATTCTACAAACTTACTACAAGGAAAAGTCCATAGAGAAAGTTGATGATCCTTTTCATTGTAACTCGCAATACAAGCATGACCATGATTGAATGTTGGCAAGTTGGCAAAAGCATCAGACCACAATAACAAATTTTGACTCTAAAACGTGTATTCTAACGATGCGATTCGACCTAAGTTGTCAAAATTACCTTCTTTGACATTGCTCGTGATAGCATACGCAAAACAAAAATGGAATAGCCATATAATTGTCGAGGACGCGCTGAACTGTTTCTCATTACTATATTTTCTATTACGAACTTGCTGGAGTTATCTTGCTGCCAACATGGCGGCGATGCCTGATTGCGGGCTAAAAGTTGACAACAAAATCTTCAAAGGGTTCCGACGACAGTGGCCCTTCTGTTACGTTTCTATTCTGTGGTTTGAGTGTATTCACAGCTACTCTCAACCAATCAGATTACAGATACTCCCACTATAGATTTTACTACTTGGTCGGGCTGAATTTTCAGAGCCCGACTAGATGTTGCGAAACAGCGCATTTGAGTTTGCTTGGTTGCTGTCAACCAATCAGATTGCAGATAATCCCACTATAGATTTTACTACTTGGTCGGGCTGAATTTTCAGAGCCCAAATAAACTGCGTAATGCCTGGCACTAGAAATGCACTAGTCATTGTTGCTAAGTAACGTTTAAAAATATGATAATTTTGCTAATAACGACGCAATTTGACAAATATTACACTAATAGACTGTGGATTATTCCAAAAAGAGTCGCAGAATTTAAAGTTTTCGCAAATCCCATTTTAAAGAAAACAAATTTTTCATTTTTGGGAAAATATTTGGTCGGGCTGGGCCCAACCAGCCAGACCGCTAGCTACGCCACTGTTCGTTTCATATTATATACATTTTACGCATACTTTTCAAATTTGAAAATGACGTGGAGCAATGAGCATGCATCACAACAGAGGTCAGACAATAATGTCAATAATGAAATATCGAATTTTCTGAGTAGCAGCAAGTTTAAAAAACTTATAAAATAGCGACGATTTTTTAAAAGCAAACATGTTTCTACGTTAACAAAATGCCATCTTCAGTACGAAATGATTAGTGTTACGAAATATGATACAGTATAGGAAGATACGATATGAATAGATTGTTTACACTGAATGGGAATGAGATATAATTAAAAGGCGTTTTAATGGTTTTATCTTGAAAGTCGCTAGCTTCCATTGCACGATATATTGTACATCCTCTAGATTTGAATCGGACTCCTTTCGAGCAACTTTATTCTTAATTCAGACGACTGACACTTAACAATTACTTGTTCTCGAAAAGTGATCTACAAAACTAAAATTTTCTGTGTTTTGTCTCAGCTTGATCACGAATTGATCGATATGTAGTATTATTTACATATAGACAAATCTAAAAATCCTATCTGTTATTTTATGATTACAGATAAACTGCACCGCAATTGGCTAATTACAATGGAGAAATATCTCAAAGTGTAGTTTTACAATCTATATTACATGGTTTTTATGGGTTTGATTTGAGTCCACCACTTTCGCTACTTATATTTTCGTATGCATGTCGCGTGGTACAAACTGTACACATTGCGTATATTTTCACAGCTCTATCATATATTCTTATATAGCGTTGACTGTTTTTGCTTGAAACATTTCGAGTATTCTTTTGGCAATTTGATGATACAAATATCTTTTTTAATTTTGTGATAAATGGTAGTGGTTCTGTTAGTTATATAGTTGATAGCTTCTACAGTCAATCATAATCGACTTAAGAAAATGTGAATAATGTTTCACAGTTTCTAGTACCACGTGATATGCAAAATATCACTCGTGTTTTCTAAGCAAACTTCCTTGTAATTTGCAGTAAGATTGTCTCAAATGTTGTTGACATTGCTCCATAGAAAGAAGGAATGAATATCATTCACAGAATGTGTGTATGTATGTAAATGAAAATGACACAAAAAGAGCACTTTTCAAGAATAAGAGGTAAACATAGAGTAGAGTATGGCCCTGTTTACATGAGACCGGAACGAAGTCAAACCGCGATATCAGATTGTGTCGGTCATAATGTTATATACGGTCTGAACTTGTACTGCCTGCTGAACCGATCCGACTGAGTTCAGAACGGTATGAATTGAAACCGGCATCAATGTAAACTCAAATTACTGTTCAGACCGGTCTGAAATGGCATCAACGCACGCGCACAAAAGTAAATTACAAAAGCAAAATGGCTAGCAAGCGTAAAACTAGCCTGCAAACGAGGCATTGCGCGAATGAGGAACAAATTCTGATTTTCAATCCTGTTTGACTTCTTTACGATCTCATGTAAACAGGGCCTTTGTAGATAGGGTGAAGGCAATTATCAGTTATGTTCACAGTAAGAAGCGTGGGCACAAACCAAAGAATAGGAGGTGTATGAATACACTGAAGGAAGACAAGAGGAGCCTCTACTTGTTTATCATCATGAATAACGAAGTCTTAGCTTTAGTTAGGAAAGTGCTCATTTTTAGCAAATTTCTTTTCAAACACTATCTATTTATACTGTTTGGGTGCAACGGAGAAGAGGTATCATGATCTAGAATGTAGAGGAATGAGTAATGAGGTTACACGAACTAGAAGTTCAGATTGATGTAGAGTGTATGTGGTTGGGTTGGAGAAAAAAGTCCTTTGTGTTAAATGCCAAAATAGTTTTAACTAAATGAAAAGAAAGGCTTAAAAAACAGTACAACTCCAACCCTGTTGTATATTTTTGAGATAGCGGTAATGGGAATAAGACAGATGGCGGAGCATGGAGGTTGGACAAGTAAAGACTCTTTAATCTGTCATTTCATTAAAAGTTTTGTAACAAAGATTAGGGACTTTATCTAAAAGGCAAAAGAGTGAAAAAATCTTTTGTTGAAACAAAGCCGTTTTGTTATATCTTCCACTATAAATTTATACTTAAGCATAAGAAATAGCTACATGCTTCAAAACTTTAATTTTTCTACACTAAAAACCATTTTGTAAGCATTGCGTTGTTTAAACGAAAGTGCAATATTAGATTAAAAACAACATTTTACTGTTTTGCTTGCTTTTAATCTTAACAGATATATGTTTGCACGATTGATTAATTTTTGACAACTTTTTGATTGGTGCTAAGATTTTACAAAAATTTAAAGTCGTTATCAAATTTTAACCATATGTGAGTAAATTTGAGGTACCTATTCTCATGAATTTGATTAGTTTTGTTGCACTCACCTCTGAATGTGATAATTTTATGTCATTTGAAGATTGGCAGTTACAAAGGTGGGCATATCTTGGTCATTCAGTTCAGCATGGAAGTCTGTTGTCAGAATTGTGTTATCCAGGAGCAGACATTAAATATGTGGGCAATGTACGTGTAATTTTCTCGGAGAAATTTTCCCTCGGCGAAGGAAGTAATGAAACCCGTGTTTTTCTTGGACTGACAAAGGATGGTTATGGTAAAGCAGTGAAACGAATACGTAGAGATAACTTTCTCCAGCCTGCACTGTATGAAAAGAAAATTTTAAATGAGTTCAATGCAAAAAATTCGCAATATATTGTGAAATATTACTTTATTGAGGAGGATACTGGATCAGAATATGTTTATTTGATCTTAGACTTATGTGAGGAATCACTGGAGAAGTTTGTGAAAGATTCTAATATACATTATCTTCAAAAAGCTCTTCCCGATATTCTTAGACAAATTTTGAATGGATTAGCTGATCTTCATAGTGGCCCATGTCCTATTCTTCATCGGGATTTGAAGCCTTCCAATGTTCTCCGTGACGTAGACGGCAAATTTCTAATAGTTGATTTTGGCATTAGTCGAATATTGAAGAATGGATCTGAAACACACAAAAGCATTTGTAACCGGGGAACTCAATATTGGATTGCTCCTGAAGCATATTGTGAAACCGAAGATTCAAATGAAGCACGTTACAAAAAAAAGTCTGATGTATATGTAAGTGTAAGAATGTTAACATTTACCAAACTCACAGCGAAATTTTATTTTTTGGGAGTTCAATTTTGCTGTTAACGTTACATTTTTTATTATCTTAGAATGCAGGAATGGTGGCATATTATGTTGCAACAAAAGGGAAACATCCTTTTGGAACTAAACGACATAGATTGGACAATATGTTGAATGGGGAACCTGTTGGCTTGGACGAAATCAAGGATGAAACATTAAAAGACCTTCTGTCGTGGATGTTAAGACTACAACCAGAAGAAAGACCATCTGCCAACGAAGCCTTGAAACATCCATTTCTTATGTCGGATGACGAGAAATTTTACTTTTTATGTAAAGTTGGTGTCTTACAGTCGATTAAAACAAATGATCCTCAATCTAGTATCGTCCAACAATTGAATATTGAATCTTCAAATTGGAAAAGTCAAATGGATAACGATGTTTATGAATATTTGGTAAATGGAAGAGAGTATGGATCTTCATGGACAGAATGCTTAAGGCTCATTCAAAATATTGGCATGCATTGGAACGATCGACCACGACCTCTACCACAACCAGAACCATTTTATAAGATTGGTGATCACAAGACATATTTTCTCAAAACATTCCCTAATCTTTCTGTTCGGGTGCACGCAGCGTTCAGGTCGAATAAAAAGTTGAAAAACGATCTAGTACTAAAGGGTAAGCATATTAGGTTGAATTTTTCACCATAGCTAGTTAAATTATATACTTTTTGTGTAATACGTTAAATCAAATAATGTTTTTACATTAACACCATTTGTCGGTTAATCATTTTTTATTTAAGTTGTGTTGAAAGATCTTTATCCTCATTATTTCGTTAATTCTTGTCTTAAGTTGTATTTATCGCTATCTTTATGAATATCTTTAATATATTATCAGCCATTGTTGTCCTTATTATTATTTTTACTCTTATTCTTGTTATTACATATGTCTTGAACTGGAAATTAATACCCAGCATTGTATATATACAGAAGACAATCTAAATTTTATTACAATATGTTCATTATTATAGATAAGGATGATGATGTCAAAGAAAACATTAATACGTATGGGAATGAAATGTCCGCTATTTCAGATAAAGAAACTTCTGTTATTGATAATTCACATATCGTCAAAGATACGGTTGAGGCAGGGCAAGGTGAAAACAAAATTCTTTTTCTTGATGTTAATATTATTAATTTTTATGTATATATGCCGTACGATTTTCTATAGACTTGACTTGTTTTAATGTTTATTGATCGTGATCCCAGTCTCCCAGAAGATGAATGTAGTTTACATTTCTCCTCAACGTTTTTAGTTAATTGCCGGAACACTTCGCAACTTTCAAGTGAATTAACTGTCATCATCAACTTGTTTACTGGTCAAGACTTTTTAACCTTGTATTATACTGTATGGAAAGGAAAGCACGTTGTAATTAGTAATTTAAGTAGCATGTGAAATGCAAAAATGGTTTAAAATTACGTTTTCAGAGGAGTATTGTTAGGCTCAGAATGAGTATAAATGTTGTTAGGTTGTAAGAATTGCATGGTCGCGGACGTTAGTACGAAATTGAGCATCTTCACTTTGAGAAAAATACTGGCCTATATTAAAAGTGGTTGTAACCATTATAAAATGGTTATTTTGTCCATATAAACATCGCATAAACAAGTATAAACAGTTAAAATAACCAATTAATTTTTGGTAGAAGCCTTCATAACCCAATTTTAACTGGTTGTCCTCGTTGCATCCAGAAAGACGTATTTTTGGTTGTTTATTGAAGCGCTTTACTCTATTTTTAGTTTGTTTGTTTTTCATTCTAGTGTATTTTTATATGCGCTGAATTTCTTCTTTATGATGCTTCCTTTTCTGATCAAACTGTAACTTCGTTGTTAAAAGAGAGATGTGTTGATCCGAGTGAAGTTGCTAATGCACGCATACACGAAATATTAGCCTGCCAACTAATACTGGTGTTTCAAAACATAAGATAAATAACTTTTATAATACTATACTTTGGCATATTCAAGCGCTTGAGATATTTGAAAACTCGGGAGATGTTGCAGGAAACGTAATATTAACTGTAGCAAGTAGGAGGAGATCTGAGCTGACTTAACAAGAGTATCATCGGATAGGGAAAATGAAAAGTTCACCTTTACAGATCTAGTTGAAGCTTTGCGAGCCTCGATATAACGAAATCTACTATTACAAACTGATAAAAAGGAAAGAGAGAGAGTGTATTGAAAGAAAAGAAAGAAAACTACTATTAACCAAAGTCCAAACAAGACAGTGAGTGTACTGTGACAAAAACCACAGGTCCATAGATTCTGACAAAGTCTTGAGTGTCAGAGAGCGTGAAAAGATCTTAATGGCAAAACGACGCTGTTTTAATTGCACAGGGGAAAACCATAGAGCAAAAAATTGCAAGAGTCAGATTCACTGCTTTGTCTGTAAAAGGAAGCACCATACTTCTATATGTGATCAGCAGGACAATACTCAATAACTGGTGTGTTATCCTAATTTGAAGAATGTTGTTTATCCAACTGTGGTAGTAACAATCAAAGGAATAAATGTCGAGCTCTTTTAGACACTAGATATGGTAGTTCCTTTGCATGAAGCAACTTGGTAAATACAATCAAAGAAGAAGCAATAAGGCAAGAATATAAATCCATCAAGATGATGTTTCATACAGCTACTAAAAGGGTCAATATTTATCAAGTCAAAAAAGCAGATGTAGAGGGAAAATTCAAAATGACATGTGAGGTGAATCAAATCGAAAAGAATGTATTGAGGATTTTACGAAACCCCAAGTATAAACAGTGGATTGAGCATTATGAGCACTTAAGAGTTTTAGACATGCACGATTATGATGAAAAGCAGCTTTTGCCGGTTCACCTCATTTTTGGGGCGAGTGCAATCTCCAGAATCAAGACACCAGAGTTGGAGATGATGGGACGCCAGTTGGTGAGAGGACAATGTTAGGATGGACGATAGTGTCACCGGGATGAGAGACAAACCCTTCCTACTTAATTACAAAAACCCCTCATGAAGATTAAAAGCATTTTGTAGTTTGGATGTGTTAGGCTTAGACGACAGTGCAGAAGGGGATCAAGGAATTTTGTATCAAGAGTTTAAAGAACAGCTGACAATGCGAAGCAAATGGTCAGTATGAAAATTCACCTCCATGGAGGGCTAATCACCCAGAATTGCCAACGAACTATCAGGTTGCCAAGCGGAGGTCAATCCTTGACAAACCGATTGGAAAAACAGCCTGAAATGATGGAAACTTATCACAATATCATAGTAAATAAACTTGATAAAGGAGTGGTTAAAATGGCGAGTGAGAAACTATAAAGAAGTTGTGAACATTATCTTCTGCAAAATCCTTGTCTTACGTGAGAAAGCCAAGTCTACGAAAGTAAGGATCGTTTATGATGCTTCAGAAAAAAAATCAATGAAAGGTCTCCTTCATTGAATGATTGCTTGGCATTAGATACCAACTGCAACGAAGAATTTTAGATGTACTCTTGCGTAGTCGAATGAGACCGATTCTTTTAGTAGGCGATACCAAACAAGCATTCTTACATATAGTTATCAGAGAGATTGATCAAGACGTAATGAGAGTCTTATGGATAAATGATCAGCAACAAAAAGAGATGGTTGTACATCGTATGACTCGAGCGATGTTCGGACGTGGTCCGGCCCATTTTAACTTGAAGTAACTTTAAATGTTCACATAGAGAAGTTTGTACAGAAATATCTAAAGTGTGTCGAAGAATTATCTGACGGCACTTAGGTAGATGGTATAAATATTGGTGGTGATTCAGTGGAAGAGACTATAGAGAGCTCAAACAGCAATCAAAAGAGATTCTCGGCAAGGGGAAATTTTTTCTGCACAAATGGCATTCCAGTGCAAATGAAGTTGAACACGATAAGGTAGAGGACGGGGAATCTAGCTATGCTAAAGATACTTTAGGAACTAAATGTTCAGAAACTGAACTTCTCGGACTGGTATGGAACAGCTTGAAGATACTTTGTCTATATCACCACCAAAACAAAATGTTCAAATGACCAAGCGAACGGTTCTGCAAAGGATAACAAAACTTTACGACCCGTTAGGTGTTGCAGCTCTGTACCTTCTCATAGCAAAAGTAATCTTTCAAGATATCTGTGATCGGAAAATTGCATGGGATGCACAGTTACCGGAAGGTATCAGGAAGCGTTAGGAAAAATGATGGAGTTTGCCAAGTGAGTTAAATATTCCAAGAAGCATTCCTTGGATAGGCGTATGGACTACAGCAATTTACATTCATGGATTTTCCGATGCGAGTATCTTGGAATGCTGTGCAGCGGTGTATGTGGTGTCAAAACAATGCAAAGTGGTTTCGCAAGGGCTGTTGATATAAAAGGCAAGATGTGCAAAACGCGAATTAACTATTCCACGATTGGAACTTGTAAGTTGTCATTTTGTTTCCAACCTGGTGGACAAAACGCAGAAAGTCCACTGTTATTTCTCTGTTGAAGCTGTTTACGCGTAAACTGATTCAACCGTCTGTCTACAATGGATCAACGGTAGAGGCAACTACAAGCGGTTTGTTTCAAATCGTGTGAAAAAAATAACGAGAAACAAATTGAGTGGAAGCAAGTGCGAACCTACGAAAATCAAAAGTAATGAAGATATCCATTCCAAAAGAGATCGATTTCATTGATCATATGCTGGAAAAGTATGTCCTGTCCAAAACTGTACGAGCTCTAGCATGGTGTAAGAAATTCATTGACAACTTAGTTAGTAATAAGAAAACAATTGGTGCTTTATTGAAAGAAGAAACTCAGGCGATAATGAAGTTACTGATCAAACAAGCTCAAGCTGAGAACGAGGTGATGGAGAATTTCAAAGACAATTCTGTCAAACCTAATATTAAAAAAGATCAAGACGTAATATACATGTGTAAGGGAAGAATTTAAGGAGAATATCCGGTGTATCTTCCAGCAAAGCATTTATCATCTAAGAGCGTTGTAAGACGAGCTCATATACTAACCTTACACGGGGTAGTGGGACTTATCACGATGAAATATGACATGAAATATGAAATAAACCTTATGACTTATTAATTACGTTTACGTGAACAAGAAACGACTGAAAACTTTAAAGAAAAGTATATTTTAATTAACATAAATTAAAAAAGAGGGAGTGTGTCGTGAATGTTAGCACATTCTAGTAAAAACTATAAGGTCAGGGAACTTATTATGTTAAGTTTAATTGAGAGATGATGGTGGGTTGTTTTTGTAAAAGAGTTGTGATGTGAATGATGTGATTTTGGAGAGATCAACAATAAAACCTTATTAGTTAACTTCAATTCGGGATTCATCAAACTATCTGTGGGAATCGAACGACATACACCTCAAAATATTTTTTTGCATTCAGTGAATTTGAGCTACTTCTGGGGCACGGGCGAAACTATAACAGTAAGCGGGGGGGGGATGAATATTCATATATTCAGCTCTGCCCTGCTGATTTCTTTTGAAATTATAGTCGTTAATTATATTTTTTTCAAAATTCCATAATGCAGTACTTTTATGTCATTTTAAGAACTGCAATTACAAGAGTGGAACTTTTTTGGTGAATCAACAAAGCATAGAAAAATGTTTTTAAAATTGTGTGAATATGGAGCCAGTGCCTTTAGAAAGGTTAAACATGTGGGCGATGTACGTGTAATTTTCTCAGACGAGTTTTGCATCGGCAGAGGAAACGATGGAACACGTGTATTTCTTGGACTGAGAAACGATGGTTACGGCAAAGCTGTGAAACGCATACGTCGAGATAACTTCATCGATCTAACACGCCGAGAAAAGGAAATTTTGAATGAACTCAACGCAAAGGAATCAAAATATATTGTGAACTATTCATACTTAGAGGAAGACAATGACACGGAATATGTCTATTTAATATTAGACTTATGCGAGGAATCGTTGGAGAGTTTTGTAAAGTCTTCTACTTTGTCTGATCTTCAAAAAGTTCTTCCCGAAATTCTCAGACCAATTTTGCAAGGATTAGCTTATCTTCATAGTGGCCCGCAACCTATTCTTCATTGCAATCTAAAGCCTTCCAATGTTCTCCGAGACTCACAAGGCAAATTTCTCATAGCTGATTTTGGCATAAAAGCCAAGGCTAATGTGGGAACTGAGTTTTGGTATTCTCCTGAATCCTATTGTAAAGAAGAAGATTCGTTTGATAAAGCTCGTTACAAAACAAAGTCGGATGTAATGGTGAGTGTGGGAATTTACTGCATCCTTAATTTGATTTTTTCTTAAGTCATTTTCGGAGTTTCGAGAAAATGAGAAATGAGCTGATATAATTTTAAGAACAGCCAAACTTTTTATTTAAAATCATATATTGAACACTTATTTAGGCGTTTTCGATTGGTAAATTAACTTCGGAAATAAGTAGCTACAGATCACACCAATGACCAAAAAGTAACTTTCGGCAAAAGTACCAAAATAAAAGAAAGAGTAGGAAAAAAATAGTTAGTAACCTGACGATAAGACATTAATTGCATGAATTTAATCTCGGACATTAGATTGTCGCTGTTACATTTTTAACTGGAAAACTGAAATGTCCTTAGTAAGTTGTGCAACGGCCAGTTATTAAATTTACTGAAGTTTTCATCTCTTGAAAGTTATAATTTACGATGCAGAAATTTATTTTTGTTTAATTGAACTCCAATTATGTTATTATATAGTTTCCCGAATTTTTAAATTTTATAAATAATTTTATCTCATGAACTTGAAATTTTGATTTATTATATCGCCTGTGTTATATAAGTCTAGCACCATCTAAGAGGGCTACAAATTAATTTATTTACTTATTAGCTATTGTGTGTTTATCGTCTTTTTAACATATATTTGAGTTTATGCTAACTATTTTAGAATGCAGGAATGGTGGCATCTTATGTTGCAACAAAAGGGAAACATCCTTTTGGAACTAAACGACATAGATTGGACAATATGTTGAATGGGGAACCTGTTGGCTTGGACGAAGTCAAGGATGAAACATTAAAAGACCTTCTGTCGTGGATGTTAAAACTACAACCAGAAGAAAGACCATCTGCCAACGAAGCCTTGAACCATCCATTTCTTATGTCGGATGACGAGAAATTTTACTTTTTATGTAAAGTTGGTGACTTACAGTCGATTAATACAAATGATTCTCAATCTAGTATCGTCCAACAATTGAATATTGAATCTTCAAATTGGAAAAGTCAAATGGATAACGATGTTTATGAATATTTGGTAAATGGAAGAGAGTATGGATCTTCATGGACAGAATGCTTAAGGCTCATTCGAAATATTAGCATGCATTGGAACGATCGACCACGACCTCTACTACAAACAGAACCATTTTATAAGATTGGCGATTACAAGGCGTATTTTCTTAAAACGTTCCCCAGTCTCCCTGTTCGGGTACATGCTGCTGTCAGGTCAAATGAAGAATTTAAAGAAAATCCACAACTTAAAGGTAAGCATACTAGCTTGAATTTTTACATTTTTATTACACTTAAATTATGCGATCGTTGTACAATAGCAATTTGATTACATGATATTTTTACGTCATATTCTCATCATTTCTTTGCTCATCAGTCTTTATTTACTTAAATTCGAACAGAAAAAATATTATGGGAAAAATATTCATTACTACCATAAATATATAATGTAAACATTTTCAAGATTGTAAAAATGAGCCAATTTGACGATGTGAATTCTCAAAGTTCCACAATAAAAAGAAGGCTATTTGCAATTTTCATTATGGCAAATGTAGCATTAAATTGCACATTTATTAAACGATCTTCTATATTCTAAATTTACAGAAAATTACAAGTTCTTTTGAGCTCTCTCCTTGCTAAGTATACTGGAGATTACCAGTTCAGTGTGAACATCATTTAAAAGTGCACATTGATAATTTTCTAGCTTAGAATTAAATTTTTAATACTTTTTACTTAGAATTGCATTTTGAAAGTTGTATAGAGAATAAAAGTTGCTGTATCAGTTTTTACTAGAAAATTTCACAAAATAGATAAGCAAATAACGTTATTAATCGAAAAACATAAAAACAACGACTTTATTCATTAATTTCAATAAATTACTCCCACTGATCTCAAACGGGAAATACTCCCGGGAGAATATTTCCCGGGGAGTATTTTCCAGTCAACGTCGTCTACATTAATAATAATTTAAATAGACAAATAGATCAATAAATGGACAATCTGATGGATAGACGTATAATTGATCTGAAAATTTTCTGTGAAACCATGAAAATACTTTGCTCAATTACTCTCTTTAACTCTATTTATAAGAGATCTCCAAAGGAGCGTTGTATTGTACGAGAAAATTTTTCAAAGTATTTAAAGGTCATTGTCGTAGCCAAAGATAATTAAAATGTTCTGCATCGTTAATAAAATGCATCCAAATACAAAGATGATACAATATTTGAAACCAGAAATTCGATCATTGCATCGTTCGCGTTTCTTATCTAGTCAGTTTATTATATTTTAACACTACAACATCATGATTTCTTTTATATGTTTCTAAAACAGACAAGAATTTTCTCGAAAGGACTGAAAGATATGTTAAGAACTTACATCTTTCGTGGGGTTGAAAATTTATTGAATTGCATGATTCCTTTTCTTCCTGGGTAAAAATTTCCTTAAAAAGGAAATTTTATTGATAAGGAAAACCCTGACACTATAGACACATGACAGACAAATTGTTTCTTTCAAACAAATCATCATATGTTTAATAAAATAATTGAAAACTGCAAATAAGCATTTTCAATTCGGCAAAGGAAAACAATACCAGCAATCGTTTTCAAGAACGCAAATACTATGTTGAATAGTAAAAGTAATTCACCAAGGTATTTGCTATCTTCAAAACGATTTTCAGATTTGTCACCACGACAAAGTGTATATTTTAAAACTAACTATGTTGCACAAGAATGAGAAAAAGCATGACGTAGAGTTTGAGTTTGCAAAAAGATAGATAACGAGGTTCACTTTACCAATAAATAAGAGAAACTGTACGTGTCAGATAATTTAGAGTTAATGCATAAAATGCTATGAAACGAAAATTTAGCAACCTGTGTTATACTTTTATTGAACAGATATTTTAATATGATAATGGACTTTCTGTTCTAGTTTATGCATATCACTTTTCACTCTCGAGATATTGAAGTTTTTATTATGTCCGATTTACCTGATGTCACACTGGATAATGAGAGCTATATGTATTAGGCAAATTTGCTGATACATTATTTTAGCATGATGGAGTTTCCTTCTTTGTGATGTGTTAATGATATAAAATACTGCCTACCATTATCAACGTAAAGTTGTCATGAAAATGAAGGGTATTTGAAATATTGCAAGTAGTATAGTACATGGGGGTTCTAGATCACAAAAAGTTTACTTTTTGTTATCTATACCCCCCATGTACTATACTACTTATAACCGTGGGTAAAAACTATCTTTATAACAGCGTAAAATAAGACCATGGTTCAAAAGGCGTCCCTCAGTAAAAGGTCATGTAAAAAAGCTGTGCAAAAAATCGTTATTTCAAAGCAGTGTGAAAAAGGCCATGTTTCAAAGGCGTCCCTCAGTAAAAGGCCATGTAAAAAAGTCATTGTTTCAAAATATGGAATCTATATGTTTTAAAAACTATCTTTAGAAATAAATGTTAAGAAAGCATCGGTTCGGAGGCGATCCGGCAGCACAAATTTTAGCGTAGCTAAAATTGAGCAGGGGGATGGGATCGCCGAGAATTCATGCGAGCCTGGTGGGTAAAAAATTCTAGCTTTAGCTAGAATTTTCGGCTCGCCCCCGTGGGTCCGAAGGACGACAGAGGCTTAATATATGCTCTTTAAAACTATCTTTAGAAATCAAGTTAATAAAACATCTTTACAAAATATGGAATCTATTTGTTTTGAAATATATAGGTGCGTTTACAAACATTTTGTTAAAAGCATCGGTTCACGGCAGCACAGCGAAGTGACGAGCAGGAATGGAGCCTCCAGAATTCTAAGATTTATGGGGAAAATTTTCACGAAGTGAAAATTCGGAACGGCCCCGTAGATTCGATGAATATTCGAAGAATATTCGAGAATAACAGAGGCTTAAGAAATGCTCTTCAAAAAACCGTCTTTAATAATCAAGTGTTAATAATCAAGTGTTAATAAAATATCAGTATCAGCGCGCTTTTATAGTCGACGTATATTTGGTAAACTAGTGGCTTTTAACAATGGTCTGAAAACCCAGCGCGTGGTATAAATATTCTGTAATAATCAAGTGTTAATAATCAAGTGTTAATAAAATATCAGTATCAGCGCTTTTATAGTCGATGTATATTTGGTAAACTAGTGGCTTTTAACAATGGTCTGAAAACCCAGCGCGTGGTATATAAATATTCTGTAATAATCAAGTGTTAATAATCAAGTGTTAATAAAGCATCTTTTTAAATCGTTGTTGGCGAAGAATTTCAGGCAACTAAGCCTGAAATTTGAGCTAATAATGTCATAGATGCTCTTTACAAAACTATGGAATCTATATGTTTTTTTAATTTGTCTGTCAAGCGAGTGTCATATAATTTTTGTTAAAATTGTTTTTAATAATTGTTTCAGGATTTTGAATTTTTTTGTATATCACTTTTGTATTAATTACTTATTACAAACAGTTATGTGATATGTAGTCAAACATGAGGATTATTCTTCATCTTTAGGTTTAGCTTGATAGTTATCTTTAATAAATTTTTTAATTTTCGATTTCATCATTTACAAATTTTTAGTTGATAGAATATTATCTTCTATAATAGCCTGAAATTTTGTGAATAACCATTATATCTCATAGATAATGTAGATTGATGGTGTGAATAAACTTGAATTTTAGTTAATCCATTAAATGCTGCCAGCCATTTTTTTTCCATTTGTTCATAATATATTAGCAGATTTTTTCTGTAATGATTAATTTTGTTATTTTAATGATAAATTTTTGTTAATCTTATCTACCATAATATCTAATTTAACTGTTTTGAGTTATCAGATTGATTTATTAATAAAAGTGTAAATTCAATAAATTTAATATTATAAAACAATTCTGATAATATTTGTTGGCTTAACATTTGTGGTATAATTTAATTGATTACTTTGATATACTACTTTACTATTTACTATATCATCTATTTCAGATTTCGTATAATATTCATTTGCTAAATTAAAGTTTAAGCATATCTATTATCAGATTGAGTTTTAGTATAATAGTTAGTTAAATTAGAACTTAAAGCATACTTATTATCTGTTTCATTCTTATTATAATAGTTGGCTAATCTTGAACTTAAAGCATACTTATTATCTGTTTCAGTCTTTGTATAATATTTACCATCAGTTTGTGTTTTAGTATAATAGTTAGTTAAATTAGAAGTTAAAGCATACTTATTATCTGTTTCATTCTTATTATAATAGTTATTAATTTGAACTTAAAGCATACTTATTATCTGTTTCAGTCTTTGTAAAATATTTACCATCAGTTTGTGTTTTAGTATAATAGTTAGTTAAATTAGAAGTTAAAGCATACTTATTATCTGTTTCAGTCTTATTATAATAGTTATTAATTTGAAGTTAAAGCATACTTATTATCTGTTTCAGTCTTTGTATAATATTTACCATCTGTTTCAGTCTTTGTATAATATTTATTTAAATTAGAACTTAAAGCATACTTACCATTTGTTTCATTCTTTGTATAATAGTTGGCTAATCTTGAAACAAAAACATATTTATTATCAGCTTGTGTTTTAGTATAATATTTTAGTAAATTAGAAGTCAAAGCATACTTACCATCAGCTTGTGTTTTAGTATAGTAGTCATTAAATTTACCATCAGCTTGAGTTTTAGTATAATAATTATCTGATAGATGTGTTTTATCTATAGATCCTTGTATATTTACATTAATATCTGTTTTATCATGCCCATAAAATAAGCTCATGTATATTATTCCTCAGATTTTATATCCGGTTTATTATTTTTATGTTCGTAAACATGTTTAATGGTTGTCATACCACCTGATAAAAATCCTAAAAAAGGTAAAAATGGTGATACTTTTTCTACTAAACTGTACACATCTCGTTTTAAAAGGTCGTCTGATTTAAGCTGTTTTGTTAATTCTTTAGGATCTTCAATAGCATCAAACCCTTTTAATATATCTGAAAATTTTGATATAACTAAATCAGTTAAAAACTCATTGGTTTTTTGTAATCGTTTTTCTCGTATTCAGTGTACAATTTATCAATAATTTTTTCACTAGCTTTTTTAATGTAAGCAACTGACTTGTCTAAATCACCATCTTCAGCTAGTTTAAGTAGTTGATCTCTTTTATTAAAACTTTCTTGCGGTTTATCTTGTATATTATCATCACATACAGCATCTTTGATAGTATCATTTGCGGAATCAATCTCATTAATTATATCATCAATTGTTTCAGG